CTGAACCAAAACGGCAGTGGTGGTCAGGCGGGAACCCAGGGGTCACACGTTAGCCCCTTTGTGGGCCACCAGTTGGACAGCACTAACTTAATACATTCATACTAATTAAATTCACACATCTTGCATCCTGAAATACTCTTCAGCAATACAGTTTAAGAATAATAACAGCAAAAGAAAAAATAAACTTTTATGCATTACAAAATATAGGCATTAGCTTGTTTGTAATCTGGCATTATCATATATATATTTTAAATTAATACAAAATTGTGGACATCAATTTAGAATTTATATCAAAATGAACTACAGCCTCATTTAAATGCCCAGACTATTGGACTATTAGTTTACTCCCTAAGATATATTCTTACGTTTCTTCAATTTATTCAGTCAGGAACTTAGTTCAATACACTGCAGAACACTCTAACAAAAAATATTTTAAAAGGAAATTAAAAAATTACATTTCAGAAATAGAACCTATGCTCACCACATCCTATATGAAGAATCAGAATTTTACGGAAATCCAAAGCCTTACACACATATAGAAGCTTATACACACAACTGTGTGTGTATTGCTGTATGTAAGTCTGAAAAATTGAAGCTTTAAGTTTCAAGCAAACTAGGCAACTTCAAAACTGAGTGTAGCACAAAGTGAATGGAATATTTAGCTCCTTGGGAGAGAATTTATATCTCATAAAAATGTTCCTACAAATGTACTTCAGGGGCTCTAAGTTCTTAAGTGATACAACACGTAACAAGGAACAATAACTTTCCCAGTTTTGGATGTTATTTATTTAACAGAAATTTAACCTTTAGTAGCTAAAACTATTATATAATATTTTACCTGATTTAATATTACAGGTTGTGTTGTTACTGTAGCCACTGGCCTAGGTACAGGCTGAGTCATTTCAGGAATCGTGGTATTTCTTGATACTGGCTGTGTTGTTACTGGAATCGTTACAGGTCTGCTAACAGGTTGTGATATTCCAGAACTTGATCTAGATATCTGCTGTGTTGACAAACATCCAGCCCCAGGTCTCTGCAGTGTTTGTGAGGTTCCTGAAACATTCATTGGTCTAGACAACGGTTGACCTGTCACAGAGCTAGTTGTAGGTCTTGATACAGACTGAAAGACTGAAGAAACAGGCACGGTACCAGGACTGGAGGCAGGAGTCGCATAGTGTTGACTACCAGGCTTGAATGTAGTAACTGTACCTGTTACACAGAATCACATAGTAATTATCATACCATAAATGCAATCATAAGTTTCATTAAGTTTTTCTTAATTACCATATTAGGACAGTGTAGTACCTCTACTGGGTGCACCATTCTGCATTCCCGTTCGCGATGAGCTCAGGTTGACTCTGTTCAATATATCTGTTAAAAGTTACATGCGTCTTAATTCCAGTAATGAATTACTAAAAGCTGAACTCAATTTTAATAAAAACAAAAAGGAAAAGCAGTAAATACATTTATTTGTTATGCTATCATAAGCCACTAAGAATTTTTCACTTAACTGGAATGCCATTTCTAAAATACCTGACAAACCAAGCTGCATACAATCTTACTTGTACAAATAAGCATCTAAAGATACCATCTTTTTGCAGTTTTAGTCCCTAACAACCTTATTTACCAAGTCATCTTAAGCTCTAGTTCTACTGAGAAGAAGATCAGAATGCACAGCTCTCACAAATGGATTTCGTGATTAGCTGTGATGGCTATGAAGACAATAATAGCCAGAAGTGAATAAATTTATTTCTTATAAAAGTCACCCAAGTACTGAAATGATTCTATAAAAAGGAAGCAATTTCCCCCCCAACTAGCTGCTGATTAAACATATTGCTCCAAACACAAAGTAACATACAGTAGGAGAAATAATGTGAAGTACTTATTCTAAATTAGCTATATCAGCTCATCATTACGGACATCTCAAGGAATACGTTGAATAAGCCATGTTTCTGTATTGTGAGTTAATAAGAATACACAATTTATTTTTGTCATATTATTTTGTATACCTGTCTTTTGCAGACCAAATCTTTGACTGTCATCACAAAGAAATCTTTTGATGCCGCTAGTGGCTTTTGTTAGTTTTTTTTAGTCTGGTCCCCTTTTCCATTCTGTTGGATTTTAAGACTTACCAGAATTCCCCGTATTCCAGGTGAACATTCTTATTCCAATGGCTTGACAGTACTTTCTTCTTTATTTCTTATGGCTAACGTGGTCACTTGTACAATTAGCAGTGGTGGCAGGTGTTTTTTTGTATTTGTTTTAACCAGGACCACAATAACTTCTGCTGTATTGATAAACATCCAGCACCCAGTTTCCGCAGTGTTTGTGAGGTTCCTGAAATATTAATTTGTCTAGGCAATGGCTGACCTGCTACTGAGCTAGCTGTAGGACTATATTTTTTAGAAGTCTGGTTAACTAAATACCTTCAAATTATCCCTTCCAATGTGCAGTACTTCTGGTTGGTTAAGAATGGATTTAATTTGCCATTCAATATCTTCTGGTACAGAAAAGCCAATTCTTTCCAAGGTTCCCCAATCTTACCATGATTTGATTGCACTAAATAATTCATTATCTGTAGATTTGACAATGCATCTGTCATTCCATTTCAAGATATTAATATATTAAAATACATATTCATTCAAATGCCCAGCTTCTGGATACCTTATTAACCTTTTGCCAAACTGAACACTTACCATTTTTAACAGAAATTCATCTTTCAACCCATAACTTCCTTTTTGTCTGAACAGTCTTCTTTAGGGAATGTTGTGAAAGGTTTATTGAAACTCTCAAGCTATGGCAGTCATCCCTTCCTTATCCATTATTCAGTTCATATATTCAGAGCATTCCAGCTAGAGAAGTACCATTTCCCTTACTAGAAGCTGCATTGCTTTGTTTCTATCTTATCACATTTAACTCATCTTTACTTTGACTTTCAATTAAATGTTTCAAGCAATTTTTCTAGTATTGAACACAGGTTTATTACATGTAACGCCTAATACTTTTTCAAACATAATTTGAAGTTTACTGCCCTCCAATACACCAGTAGATTTGAATGAGAAACTGATTATTTTTGTTGGCAGCCCAGCCACTGGATACACTTTCAGAATCACTGGATATACATAGTCAGTCTTCATGATTTGTTTTTGTTCTATTTATTGGTTGTTCCCAAATATCCTCTTAATGCCTCTGACAGGAGCTAATTGTTGTTACATTTATTACCTTTCCAAAATCCTGTGGCAAAGAAATCATTGCGCATCAGTTATATCCTTATCTTTAATACTTTTACTCTGTGCTTGTGTGGAAGATCCTACAACCTTGCCTGCAGACTTCATGCACAATATACTCAAAGATGCCTTGCTCTTTATATTTGTAGGCATGTGGCCTAAGGATATGGACAAGCATAAATTTTAACCACTTTAAAAGAGGAGGAGAAATGCTGCTAAGCAACTCTTATACCTGATGTTCCTACAGCAATACAAGTGAGCCAGATAGCCCTATCAGATCCAGGATGAACAGTTGGAACACTTTTGCTACACTTGTCCTACTACAGAATCAGGCAGAGGTAACAGTGGCATTGTAATAGCTTGTATTGGTATCCTTTGATACTGATACAACTGTTACATCTGTCTAACACCCAAATCCTTCTCTCCAGAGTGGTCATCCCAATTTTTAAGCCTGTATGCTTGTTTCTACTGGTTCAACTAGGATTGGTTTCCATCTTCTGGTAGTGTAAGAGTGATTTTGTAGCTGTGCTGGCCCAGAAATTATGCGAGGGGCACGGTTTTCTTAGGGTGATATCTTTTATTGGACCAACTATGTAGTTGGGATAGTCAGACAAGCTTTCAAATGCAAGACATTTTTCATCAGGTCACTTGGCATTTTCCTTTCCATTTTCTGACAGATACCTGCTTGGCTCAAAAAAGCCCTTAGAACCTCATGTTTTATTCATTGTTTTCCTTCATCATCTTTTGTTTCATCTTTTATTTTTGTTTGGTGTACTGCATACTATATGCCTCAAATTTTAAACTTAGACAACATGCAAATGGCTGAAGCTACTATGCATTTATTCCTGGCTTACAAGACTTAGCAGTCTTTGCATTCATGGTATTGAAGAATAGCAGTCTCTCCTTCATTGAGAAAAAAAATCACAGCATATCCTGTCATCAAACTTGTGTCCTTATGACTTAATCTGTATTCTTAATGATTCTACCACATGGTCCTCTCCACCCACAATTCTTATCTTGTTAGAAATCTAAGAGATCTTTTAGATTTAGCAATTACTTCTTAACTCCTGTGAGGTAACCAGTCTTTCCTTACTGGTTACAAGTACTACTTATGTTATTTTAGCACGTTCCAGTAACGTTATTTTGTCAAAGTTGTCTTCTATTGCCAGGCCTTCCAGTTCCCTTATGTATGTCACAACCCAAAGTTGTGGGTTTTTTTTGTTTGTGTGTGCTTCGGCATCACTAAATTGTGTTCCCGCTAAATTGCAGCTCTTTTGCACGGTGGAGCGTTCTGTTGCAATTAAGACCCAGGGTGCAGTTTTCCCCGCCAGTTTTGTAGCCTTCTTTGCATCGTGCATTTCTTTTGCATTATAGTGATGCACGGTACAAGGAAGTTCCCGCCATTTGTATTAAGATTTCCGCCACATTATTGGCCAGTCTTAATATAGGCACACATGGCGGCTAGCTATTGGCTTGCTAGCCGTACAAAAGGCTTGGGTAGTTTCCGCCCAAGTCGGAGAGAAAGAAAGCACGTGGAGTTCGGGAAAGGAGCGTGAGGATCTCTAAGCGCTGCTGATCCTCTCAAACCCAGCTTTTTTCCTTAAGAGGGCAACAGAGGTTTAATTTGTCGAACCCACAGAGCTTCAACAACTCCGGGGGACCTATTTACCGAACCCCCGGAGCCTTAACAACTCCAGGGCATATAACCTCTAGCCTCTCCCTGTTGCCGATCGCAGTCCAGACGTATCCCTATCCTATGGACCCAACTGTCGAACCCATGGAGTCTTAACAGCTCCGGGGGACCTGGGAACCGAGTAACCCACGGAGATACAGCTGCTCCATGAACGAGAATTGTTGAACCCGTGGAGCCTAAACCGCTCCGGGGTCAGGAACCGCGCCTATTAGAGTCCTCCACCGAGAACTTAAGCTGACCAGCCTACACCGCGACCACCTTGGGTGTAAGTAAATAATCTTTTCAATCAACCATTACGCCTCCGTGACTGATTCTAGCTCGAGCGTACTATACCGCGCCGCGGTTTTCTCCGGCCCCGCGTGCCCGGGCTGCTGGCCACAGCCTGTGTGCACAAAGACGGGCCCGGCTCGCCCCCGAGATCGGGAGCCGGCCCGCACAATATATAATACAGAAACTCACACAAGTTTGTTTGTGTGTGTGTATGTGTGTGTCTGTTGGAGAACCTAGACTCCAGTACTTGTCTGTGATATTTCAACTTTTTCTTTAGTGTTTAGGTGAAGATTTTCCAACATTCGGTCTCTGAGGTTTGGCTTTTACTGTCTTTCCTACAAGTTGCTAGTGTCCAGGTTTAATGCTCATTAGCCCATGTCAATCTTTTTCTAGTTTAATTAATTCTCCAAAACTGATGATTTTCTGCACCTCTTTACAAATCACTATCTGTAAAATGCCAAAGGGATAGAAATACAGGCAGCTGCATTTCACTCACAGCCTAACTAAAAAGAGATTCAAAGCAGTTTTTCCTAAGATACTCTGTGGACTAGTAGACAATACAGATCAGGCATTTGTGTTTTTCCACTACTTCTGCCACAAATTATGACATTATGAAATGCAATCATTCTCTATGCCTTAGTTACTGGATCTATGAAATGGGAGTAAAAACACTCATCAGCCCCCCAAAGGCACTGGACAAGAACCTACCAAATAAAAGCAGCTAAGTAGTGAAAATTCTGACTGGTCAGAGAGGCAGGAATCAGGAAATCCTAGGACCCAAATGATTAAATAACCAATTCAGATTAAGAAACACTATTTACTTCAAACAGGACTACTCAAATGAGTAACAGTTACTTTTAGGATTAAGAGGAGGAGGAGGCGGCTCTGTATTTATAACGCATGTTTGCATACCTATTGGAAAACAATAACCTTAGCTAAACACTCTGGAATTCAAACCTAGCACTAGCTCAGGCCATCTTTTGAATAACTAGATTCCTTTCTGGCCACTGTAGTTCACAAAGTGTTTTTTTACTTTCAGGCAGTTTGGTACACACACACGTAATTCACATTCCATGCACCCAGAACATTTATTTGATTATACATGAGACATGTTACCAAAAATAATAATATGATTTCAGGATGAACTATTTAAGAGAAAAAAAACTCCATAAGGGTCTATG